TAGAAACTGCTGGAAAACCAGGATGAGGCCAGTGTAGAGTTCTGTAATGTGGAACTGCTTCTGTTGTGTCAGGTGCTGCGTGAGAGTTCTTCTGCTAGTATTCGTGGACTTCTTGAGCTCAGCACTTGGGTTACCCCTCTGTCTTTGTGAGGAAAGAGCTTGGTCACATACTTCATGTTCAGGATTATCACTCAGCTCAGTGCCCAGGCCAGGTCCACGCCCCTTTCTTTAATGTATCCTTTAGTCCTTTGTACAGCAAGTGCTTGCTCAGGTCAGACAGAAAGGACCAACGGTGGGAACAGGAGCTGTGACCACGTGGCCTGAATCACCTCACCAGCACTGTCCCAGCAAGAGAGGCAGTCTGCCTGGCCGTCCGGTTCTCCCTTCTGCCTCCACACCCAGCTAACTCCTGCAGCGTTGGTAAGCCCTTCCTGTGAATCTCTCCTTCTTCTCTTGTGCACACCACCTCACCCAAACATCTCTGGGGAATTCTGACTTCCCCGTTGTCAAATACGGAAGTAGACCCTCAGTTCTCATTTTGTTTTTATTTTGAGAGAAGGTCTTACGTAGTCAAGTCTGGCCCTGAACTCTGATCCTCCCGTCTCCACCTCTGAAGTGCTGTGGTTATTTACACATTTATTATGCATCCCCTCTGAAATACAGCTCTGCCAGGACCAGGCTTGCTTACTCCCTCTCAGAATCCCAGCACCAGGCTGCTGCTCACTAAAAGAAACCGTCTAACGATTGTTCTGGTGCAGGTTCCTACACTCTGTCCCAGGGCATCTCAAGCATGTTGAAGGCTTGGTGCCACTGTGTGGCCGGAGGAGTGGAATCTCCAGGTCCGTGGTTTTGGTCTCTCAGGGCATCGTCCTGCACACGAGGCTCTCAGGTACAGGCTTTGAGGCCAGCGGAGCAGGAAGCACATGGCTGCCGGAGGGTAACGAGCCAGAGCGCTGCTGAAGGGCTGCTCTCTGCCAGGAGAGGATTAGTAACAATCCGGATGCTGCGTCCACAGTGTTAGTGTATGAAGTGCTGCCACACTGGGTGCTGTATCTGGGCCACACAGCTCCCGCAGAAGGTGGGCCCGGTGACGACCAAGATGCCCCTTCTGTGGTAACAACCCAGGGTACCTGGGCTAAGCATCTGGCCTGAGGCCTGCACAGGAAGTGACTGAGCTGGGTACTGGGCCAGGCTTCCTACATGGCACGGGCCACCACACACTGCCCAGAGTCACGGCTACCCAACACGGCCTCTTGGGGAGAATGGACACATTTCCTCTCTTGGAACAAACCACTAGATGAAACAACACGAATCATTTATTCTTTGGTTGTCTATACAGACACTTAAATATCATGCTGCCGTCAGGCGGCTGCCTCTATGGGCCCCAGGGTGGTTCTGGGCCTGTGTCCTGAGCCTGGAGCCAAGCCCAGAGAAGAGTAGTGTCCTGCTTCATCCACTCTAAGAACAGTAGCACCATGGGGAAGGCTGTGGGCAGGATCCTTTGGCTGGCTAGCGGACAAAGCGCCCCTCGCTCTGCAGCCCTGCGAGGCTGGAAGTCGAGGCGGCAGGACAGAGTCCCATGGGTCCAATGACACCCGCGAGTGACCTAGCTGCTAATCATAGCTCATCTTTGTGCTGCGACTCTCTGTCTGACGGAGACTCTTCTCCGGGTTTTGGGGAGTCCTGTTGGTCATGCAGGGGCTGCTTCTGGAGGAAGTCCACTTCTTCTGGGCTGAACAGCATCCTCACCAGGTCATCCGCCTGCACCCTGTCCTGCAACGGCAGACCGTCTCCTCAGTGACGGTTGGCGGCTAGCCCCCCATCCTCTCAGCTGTTGCTTCCAGAGAGAACAATGGCAATCCGCCACAGGGCCGCTGGGACCACCTCCTTCCCAGCAGGCCTATGTTCTTCAGCCTCACACTGGTGGCTGGGACCGGGTCCGGGGAGTGAGCAAGGACTCCACATCATGCCTACCCTGGTGTCACCCCGCCCCCTCCCCCATGTGAAAGGGCCGGTCCAGGGAGGGTGGGGCGGATGTAAGTGCACTGGGGTGGGGAGTCCCTAGCCCAGAACTCCTCTGTGACTGGACCACTAGTGGTGGGACTCAGAGGGAGGACCCAGAGTCTCTCAGAAACAGACCAGCAGCCCTCCCAACAGCTCTTACACGCTCACTGTGCCGAGGATCCAGCGTGAACCACAGCGCGATGGCGCAGCGCTGCCCCCTGGTGACGGCCTTCACTCCGTGTGGGTTCTCAGTTCCGGAGGAGAACCCCACAGCCCTTC